TAGTCGAGTCACATATGAAAATTACGACTCAAGTTCAATAAATCTGATACCATGGGTCACGAATTTTCATATTCTATTTATCAGATGTATCCAATTTGCAATTATTAGTTCAAAATATAGAGTAACATAAGTGTCATTATTTGTATGTGCGCGGAGATGCTTGAATGGTTCAAGTTACGGGCATCGAGTTACGAACATCAAGTTACAAAAATGACCACGTCCATTTATGCGAAACCACGTCCAAATTATAACTCGATATCCAGTTAAGAGTTACGAGCAACATACTTTTTTTGAACGTTTATATTTAGTAAATCGAACATTAGTAAAAAGTTAACCGAACTTCGAGCCTATGGACAACATATATTTCATTGTTCGTGATTCGATATCCGTAACTCTACTAACAATATGATTAGTTCGTCCTATTCCCTATGCATATCTAAACGCCGCTCCTTGAACACAGTCTACAAATTAAAGCATTGAATAACACCATGTGATTATGACCAGGAAGTTATGTGAATAAATTATGATGATGAGCTAAAACAAAAATAAATGTTCTGAACAGAAAATGCTGAAAACAATAAAAAAAAATAGATCAAAGCTGAAAAAATGCTCAAAACAAAAAATATATTAAAAAACATCAAAAAAAAAAAAACAATCGTATAATTGATGATGAATGATACAAAAATGGAGAACACGCAATCATATAATTAATAACTAATATAACTTTGGTACTGATCTTACCTCGTATGCTATGGGAGATTTCACAAACCTTATTAGTTTTTGGTCACAACCTGTGTACATTTATTACCTAATTTGCATATTAATTAGCCAGTTTTAAGCATTTTCACTTGTTTCTCAAGTACCATCCAACAAATTTCAATGACACTTGTTAGATAGATGCTCCCGAATAATAATGTGCACGTGCAGACCTGATTAGTTTTTTGTTTACAATATGTGCATACTGATTAAATAATTTGCATATAGAATAACCATTTTAGAGCCTTTTTACTTGTTTCTCAAGAACCATTAAGCTTATTTTAATGAAATTTGGTACATAGATTCTTTGGGATATTGGATGTACCTGATTTGTCAATTTAAAATAAAATGTCATAGATCATTTTTGGTGAAAAACGCAAACTTTTCAAGCCAAATGCGCCCTCAACTTCAGACTTTTTGGTTCCAGTATTTAGCTGGCTGTGGAGCACTTCCACCCGAAAACCAGGTGAGCACCTCCCTAGTGTTTTTATTGATGGAGGCAATGCAATGTTTTAATGAATATGTGGGAGGTAGTACAGGGATCTTATTAATGGTGGAAGTCAGCACATTGATTTCAGGCAGCGCAGTGATTGGAGCGAGTTAGGGCAGTCAGTAGTGATTTTTTGAGAGGGCAGAAATACAGTAATTTCATTGGTGGGAAGGAGGCATGCTGTGATTTTATTGATGGTAGGCAGTGCAGTGATTTTATTGATGCAAGAGAGCCAGTACAATGATTTTCTTGATTGAAAAAAAGCCATTATATTGAGTTCATTGATGAGATGGGCAGTAAAGTGATTTTATTGACGAGAAGCAATACACTGATTTCTTTGATAGAGGGAGGTAGTAGTGATTTCATTGATAGAGGGAGGTAGTAGTGATTTCATGATAGTGGGAGGGAGTACAGTGATTTCATTGATAGTGGGAGGGAGTACAGTGATTTCATTGATAGTGGGAGGGAGTACAGTGATTTCATTGATAAAGGGAGGAGTACAGTGATTTCATTGATAGAGGGAGGTAGTACAGTGATTTCATTGATAGAGGGAGGGTAGTACAGTGATTTCATTGATAAAGGTAGGGAGTACAGTGATTTCATTGACAGAGGTAGGGAGTACAGTGATTTCATTGATAGTGGGAGGGAGTACAGTGATTTCATTGATAGAGGGAGGGAGTACAGTGATTTCATTGATAGAGGGAGGGTAGTACAGTGATTTCATTGATAGAGGTAGGGAGTACAGTGATTTCATTGATAGAGGGAGGGAGTACAGTGATTTCATTGATAGAGGGAGGTAGTACAGTAATTTCATTGATAGAGGTAGGGAGTACAGTGATTTCATTGATAGGAGAGGGAGTACAGTGATTTCATTGATATAGGGAGGTAGTACAGTGATTTCATTGATAGAGGGAGGTAGTACAGTGATTTCATTGATAGAGGGAGGTAGTACAGTGATTTCATTGATAGAGGTAGGGGGTACAGTGATTTCATTGAAGAGGGAGGGAGTACATGATTTCATTGATAGAGGGAGGTAGTACAGTGATTTCATTGATAGAGGGAGTACAGTGATTTCATTGATAGAGGTAGGGAGTACAGTGATTTCATTGATAGAGGGAGATAGTACAGTGATTTCATTGATAGAGGGAGTACAGTGATGTCATTGATAGAGGGAGGTAGTACAGTGATTTCATTGATAGAGGTAGGTAGTACAGTGATTTCATTGATAGATGGAGGGATTACAGTGATTTCATTGATAGAGGTAGGGATTACAGTGATTTCATTGATAGAGGTAGGTAGTACAGTGATTTCATTGATCGAGGGAGGGAGTACAGTGATTTCATTGATAGAGGGAGGGAGTACAGTGATTTCATTGATAGAGGGAGGGAGTACAGTGAATTCATTGATGGGAGGGAAGCAAGCAGTATAGTGCATAAGCTTTGTGTTAAAATTTTTATTGTATATAAAAAAGAAAAAGACTACGTTATACACAGAGAAAACTGTCATTTGAAAGATATATTACAAAACAATAGACAGAAAACGTAGCCATTCAGCCCATATTTACAGTGTACTTTACACTGTAGTCACAATGGTTCCTTTATATACACTGGCCTTTCGCCAACTCCTAAAGTCTGGACACAACAATGGATACACCCCCCCCATGTATGCAGTCGTCAAATCATACTAGACAGATGAAAATTATTACGTATTGATTATTCACTGAATTTCAATTTCACTCCTTTTGCCGATAAATGAAATTCACTAAATTAAATCTATGTGAGCATGTAAAATTGCAACAAAACATGTTCCATTCAACGAAAATCCACAAATTTAAAAACACAGTGAATATCATTAAATACCAATATTGTGAAATTAAATATCAGTGAAAATGAATACCAGTACTTTCCAATTCAGAGAATGATTGTCCATCAAGAGGGTGTACAATGCCAAACAATTTCTATAACCAAGGTGAAATATTAAATAAATCATCTTGTAACATGAAGTACCAATTCAGCAATTATAACTTTTATAAGTTTTTGTGTGTTTTATTTGATCTGATAAATCGGTCCCAAGTTGCAGATTATTCCTGTGTGCAAGCACAGTGGCACACAAATTATTATACAATGATGGTGAAGTAGCTACTCAACCTATAGACAAATAGAATATTTTTAGTATACACATGATATCTGTCACTGAGTGAGCAAACGCTAAAGAATGCTTGGACTGATGGCAGTATGTTTAAACACCAATTAGTTATTGTAGAATACTTTAATAATGGTTGGAATTAATTTTTGCAATTTTTGCTGAAGGAATGTTTCAGTGAAAATAAAATGCAGCGAATATACCTTTTTTCCTATATTTTACATACAACTCATCAAAAATCAGTGAAAATAAATTCCATACAGAACGCCTGAAAAGTGTTTTCAGCAAAAATTAATTCCAGCTAAAATAAAGTATTTAACAGTACTCAGATTGTGGACTAGGTTTGGTTCAATTTAGCCATAGCTACAATTACACACTGTCACCTGATGTTATTGGGCAAACCACAGCAAATATATTTGTCATTTGTCTTCACCTAAATCAATTTAATGTCATGATACATACAGAACATACCCAGAATAGATACAAAGATAAAAGAATCAAAATTTCATTAGACATCACAGTTATGATCAAATTGATTTTTTTTCTTCAAAAACAGCCAAGGAGATTTTTATTTTGCTGAAATATTTGACCGCACTCAAATTGTGTAGATTTAATCGATGCATTCTAAGTGGAAATTGAAGTGGTGAAATAAGCAAAAAAAATTTTACCCACACTTTTTTTGGTGCTACTGACGAGAAACATTTTTTTTTTTCGTTTTTGTTGTTGTTATTCTGGAAACAATATAGCATGGATATTCAAATCATGAAGGCAAAAACAGGCAATACACTGTCCAAAGAAAATTTTCATGGCAATTTTCGTGTTCATTTTGTCAGTAAAATTATCAAGCAGTATACCATGGCTTAATTATCTAAAAAAAAAACAATCAAAGTGTACACTTCTTTTCCACTCATTTACATCAGTATTTCTAAAAATTTACATTTGTCTCATGGTCTATTCAGATCATTTATCATCAGTTGCATACCCTTATATTTATCAACTCTTTATTTGGCAAAATTCAATTTACCTTATTTATACTGACATTAGTTTATATGCAAATTGACTCATCAATATGCAATAATACCTGTCTAAACTGAACCCTATCTAAACTGAAATCTATAAAAACCCAACAATTCTAAATGATCCCATCAGTGTTCAGTTCAGACAGATTTTACCTGTACTGGCACTGGTTTATATGCAAATTGACTCGTTAATATTCAAGAGCATAACAATACATTAGAGTAGAGAGTGTGGTCTTTACATCAGGATTACGATTTCACACCAAGTAACGTTTTCTTTGAAGGCTTTATAACATTCCACTACTGTTATTGCAATATGTGCAGCCAAGTGAATGTCAGTTATTTGTCACACAGTCCAGATGAACAGCCGCTCATTCGGCACAACAATTGTACATCTATCGGGCACGGTCGTGTAGTCACACGTGAATTGGGAAATTTGCTAAGTTTCATAAATACTACATGCTATGACACTGCATAATGGGAGTTGTATCTTTCAGTAATAAGAAAGTAAAATGTTAAGGCATCTGTCTTTAAAACAATTTATAATTAAAAAATAAAAGATCTAGCATGCGGAGACGAGAACTAGCCAAGATAGATCCTGTGATACCCGTTAGCACCAAACGCAGCGTTACATTCCGGACATTTCCGCTGCCGCGTCTCATATCTTGTTTTAATGCACTCAGAACAGAAGAGATGAAAACATTTGGTCAATACAGTGTCTTTTCGTTTCACATTACAACATGGACATGTGAGTTGAGTCTGAAATAAACAAATAATAGAGAACAAGGTAAGAAATTTCAAATACCGATAATAGCAACAAATACCCTAGCATAATAAACATTTCACATCATTGTATTTCCACTAGACGTGACATAGCAGTTTGTCATACTGTAAACAACTTCATTTCTACAAACATATTGCGAGTCGCACAAAAAATTAAAAATCCAGCGCTACCATTAGGTACATGTTTAATGATACTCAGGAGTATCATTAGGTACATGTACTCAAACCCAAGGGTACAATTAGGTACTATCTTCAAGTCCAGGGGTACCATTGGGTATACATTTCCAAACCCAATGAAACCACCATTTACCTTATAAGTTTTGTTTTCTTCAAGTAATATCTCATCAGCACTGCCAGCTAATTCTATTCGTCGTGCTCTTTCAAGCTTCCTTCTCAAATTTTCTATTTCTTCCTAAAAAGTCATAAGAAGACAACCATCAGCTTATCAGCAATGACAGACACAATGCCAGGAAACCAAATCAAATCTATACTGTCACCAGTAATATTTTGTTGTCACCCACATGT